TACGCTCCGACCCCAACGCGCAAGAGTTGTGGGACCTCACGGATAAAGTTTTCCGACTATGGAGGATGCGAGCGCCCGGGGGTCTGTCAGACCTCGACTTGGGCAGTATCATTATGGTGCCCCGCTTCGGGGTAGCACCGGGTGTCAGGAGCGACGGCGCCCGCAAGGCGCGCGCGCGCGCCCGCGCGAAGCGTTGTTTAAAATTTGTCGTGCGCGCACTTCGCGGCAGGTTCGCGTGGTGGACGATTGCTCCACTGCCGGCGTCAACGCCGCAACGCGTCCACGTGAGCATATGTGGCACGAGACAATTGATCACCTATACCTGCTTTGCCGACTATTTACTGGAACGGTGGCCGCTGCGTCGCGAGGGCGCAAGGGCCACGCGCGCCCGGGTTGCAGGCATCCTCTGTGCCGCGCTTGTTTAAGCTCGACATCGACGCCGCCTTCCGGAGGCTTCCGCTGCGACCTGAGCATCGGGCTTTGATTAGGGCCATATTCCGTTACAAGGATGAGGTCACGGCGCATGCTCATTGCGCGTGCCCATTTCGGGCAGGCGCGTCGTCCGCTCTCGGCACACACCGCGTCGCACTTGTCCCCCGCGCAGTTGCAAGCGTTCATAACTGGGAACGCGTTGGCGCCCTCATATGCGCGATTCTACGCCGTGTACTCCACGCGGCGATCCTTCGTTGCGTGGACGATATGTTCGGCGCCGAAAGGTGGGCCGAGGCGCGGGGTGTCACGCGAGCCGGCCGATCGGTCGCCGTCGCGCGCCGCGCGGCAGGTCGAACACCTGCTGGATTGCATCGCGCGCATCGTAAGATGCTCATTGGGCCGGTCCGCGCTGGCAGACGAGAAGATTTCCTGTGATGTCCCGCTCGGTATCCTGGGACTTCGCGTCGACCTCTCATCGGAGGGGATGTCGTGCGTTCCGCTGCCCGACAAGATCGCTAAGTGGACAGCACGTATCACGTTTGCACTCGATTCGGGCATCTTACGCGCAGGCGTGGACCCAGTTTGCGGCCCGCCACGCAGCGTCGCGGCGCGCGCGGCCAGGTGGCGCGAGCAAACTCGCGGGCGCACTGGCCTGGGCATCCGGTAACATGTTCAACCGCGCGGGGCGCGCCATGCTCAGGTGTGTTTTTCTGTACCGTGCGCCGGCAGCGCACCCATTTGCCACGCCCACGTTGCGGCAGGCCGACCTACGCCCAGGCACATCGCGGCTCTCCCGACATGCCGCAAGCGCTACGGCTAGTGCTGCGGTGGTGGTTGATCGTGTTGGGCGGCGAGCTGGCACAGTCACGAAGGTGGTGCGACGAAGCGGCGGGCCCCGTGGCCCATCTGTTCTGCGACGCAGCCAGCCGCCCGCCCATGGCGGCCGCCGTACTGTTCGTTGACAACGAATGCTACTGGACGTGCGTGCCACCTGCCGCCCGGCACGGCTGCGCAGGTCAGCGTCAGTTTTGGTCGCGACGCGCGCGCACGCGTGCGCCAGGATCTTGAAGGCGCTCCAACCCAGGGAAGATAATCAAATCATGGGCTTGGAAATGCTGAGCATTGCCCTGGGCTTGTGCTCGTTTGAACACTTGCTCCGCCGTCGGCGCGTCGTAATCTGGTCTGACAACACAGGCGCGCAGGCCGCCGCCGGCAGCGGCGCCGCGCGCGCGTTCGATCACTCTTGTCTCGCACACGGCCTCTGGGTCAAGATTGCGCAATTGCGGTGTCTAGCACGTGTGGGGCGGGTGCCGACAGACGAAAATATCGCAGATGATCTGTCCAGGTGTGAGTTCGGGCTGCTGCGGCAGCTCGGTGCAGTGCGAATTGATCCGCACCTGGACGAGGCGTTCTGCACGCCAGCGTCATGGACGTCGATGCTCATCCCGACAAGGTGAGCCAGCGCCCGCAGCACGGCTACGCTGCGAGGCAGCCGAAATTCGGCGCCAGCTATCGGGTATCTCGCGGCGCGCGCCACGGTTGACGCGCGCGCCACTCAGCAGGGGCTCACACCGCAAGGTCCACGCGACCTATTCTGTATCATTATGTCTCACGACGATTTCGCCGCTCAGCTGAGCAATGTTCTGCCCAGAGCGTCACGTGCTGATATCGACGCGGTTTGCTCTTGCCTGCGGTTTAAAGCGATGACGCGCTTGCAGCACCTCGAGGGTGCGCTGTTCGATGACTTTCTGGGTCGTGAACGCCTTTCTGTCACCGCAGCGACAGCAGTGCGAGAGCTGCTGGCACGCCCGCAAGGTGGCGTGCATCGCGGGCGCGCGGGTCGTGCGCGCGCGCCGCGCGTATTCTTAAGGACGATGGGCGAACGCCAGGCCCAGCGGTGGCGAGGCGGCGCGGGCGCGCCCGTCGAGTCAAGGCTCTGCGAGCTAGGCTTTTTTCATCGTCCTCTTCCTCGAGTGTGCGGTTATGGGCGCCCCGCGTGGTCCGTCGCAGACCGCCTTTCTCCGCGCGTTGCACGCGCGCGGCGTCTTCGCGCGCGGCCGCGCGCGCAGGGCGTCCCAGGGCCGGCGCCGCCACCGGGGCCTCCACCCGCGATGCTAACGGCCCGTCGGCGGCGCAGCCGCAGCTCGGCAGCGGACCCAGTGGCAGCGGTACGCCGTGCGCTACGTACGGCAACGGAAGGTTTCGAGCGTCAGATGGGCGATCCGCGTTGCGAGATCGCGAAGGCTGCCGCAGCCGTCACGTCGCCCGAGGCGGGGCGGGCGTGGGCCCAGGTTGCCCGTAACAGCGCCCTGCTCGGATCGTGCCCACGGTCACTACCGCAGGTTCGCAGCGGCTTCGAATGTTGGGTGAAGTTCGCGCGCGACGTTGTGCAGCGCAAAGGCAGCGAACTCCCGCCGTCGGTCGACGGTCTTTTGCTCTGGCCTACGACGTTCAGGTGTCGCGCGACGTTCTGCAATTACCTTTCGCATTTGAAGAAGGCATGCCACGTCGCGCGCGTGGCAGACGCAGCGCCCACGCGCGCGTCGCTGGCCGGCGCCGAGCTGGCTATCGAGAAGCGTTTGGGTTGGTCGGCACGACCCCGCATGGCGGTCCGGATGCACGTGCTGGAACAGCTACTGGAACGCCCAGGCGCGTTGCCAGAGGGATCCGGGCTGGGTCTCCTCCTTTCGTGACCGCGTGCGCGTTTCTACTTCGCCTCCCGTCGGAAGCGCTGGTCATCCAACGGGCCGCCTCGCTCGACGACGCGTCGCATTTACGCGCGGGCCTTTTCATCAGCGAAGAGGCGGCCGTCTTATCGCTCGCCAGACGGAAGAACCGGGAAAGACGGACACCTATTGTGCGCAATTGCTGGTGTCAGCGCTCACGCGCCACGTGCCCCGTACACGCTCTCGGCGCGCGGTTCAACTCGCAGTCCGTTGGAGAGGCCCCGTGGGCGGGCTGGTGCGCCACGGGTGTACGTAACGCGCTGCGGTCGGCACTGCGTCGCACGGGGGTAGTTAACGCCGACGCCTACGGCGCCCACTCGTTCCGTCGGGGCCACGCCCAAGACATTGTTGAGTTCGGCGGCCGAGTCACCGACATCCTGAAGGCAGGTGACTGGCAGATGCCAGCTTGGATGCGCTATCTTGACGTTGAGAAGATGGAGCGCCAGGCCGTCGCCGAGGCGCATTTCGGCGCGTCGCCCAGTGACGACGAGGGTGGGGGTTCGGACCCCCCCGGCGTCCAGCGACGTCATTCCACGCTTGGTCGGTGCAAGTAACGTCGCGCCAGGCCCCTTCGCACGCTCGTTCTCCCTCGTTCGGTCCATCGGTCGCTCTCTCGCGGGCCACGCGTCTGCGGCCGTCTCTCTGCCTGGCATTGGGTGGCAGCGTGCCTGCGGGTGCCGCAGGCCCGCTGTGTTGGGCAGCGCTCGGCCTCAGCCCCATGGGTCCGTGGCAGTGGGTATGGTACCCATGTGCTTCGGCCTGCGCCCTGGTGCGCCAGCCGCCTGTGTCGTTTGACGCGGTGGGCTGGCGTGTCGGCTGTTGGCGCACGGCCGCGGCCTCGCCCAACGTTGTTTGGGTGCCGTATTCCCCCCTCTGGGTGGCATCGCGGTCGAACGTCGCCGCGAAGGAGACTTATGGGGCAGTAATTACTTGTTATTGCAAGTCATAAGTCGACGCCCCCAGGCGGGAGTGCCCCGCCGTCGGCGCACCGCGCGATGGCGGGCGCCCGCATGTCCACCCGCCACGCGCCGCCGCTACGTCGGGCGGGCCAGGCCCCGCGCGGGCATGCTGGCGTGCCGCGCGGCCGTGCGTCGGGGTCCTTCCCCCCTCCGCTCCTCCGTGCACGGTCGTGATGTCTCCTCTTTGCCGCCTGGCCGCGGGGCGGGATATCAAGTACCCGGTCATGTCTGCAGCGCCCCACCTGCCTAGCGTGCACTCTTAAGGTGGGGCGGCTGGCCGGGGTGCGGTCCTCTGTCTGCCAGTGTGCGGCTCTGGACCAACCCTGGGGGCGACGCGCGGGGCGTCCGTTCGCCAGAGTGCGTCGGACGCGACCGCGGTCGCGCTTCTTTTCTCCCACCCACCACCCTCGAGGGGGGGTATGGTGCCCATGTGCTTCGGCCTGCGCCCTGGTGCGCCAGCCGCCTGTGTCGTTTGACGCGGTGGGCTGGCGTGTCGGCTGTTGGCGCACGGCCGCGGCCTCACCCAACGTTGTTTGGGCGCCGTATTCCCCCCTCTGGGTGGCATCGCGGTCGAACGTCGCCGCGAAGGAGACTTATGGCGCCCTCCGCTTCCTCCTCCTCCTTATCCTCCCTTTCCGTGCTCAGGTAGGAGACCCAGAAGTGGATTTGGACAGGGATCGAGCTGCCCTGCTAGCGACAGAGCTGGCGCCCATCGAGTAGTAGAGGTTTGGGAGCTCGCCTCCCCCCCCCGACGCTGCGTTTGCGCCTCCTCCTTCCTCCTCCTTCCTCCTCCTCCTCCTCCTCCTCTTCCTCCTCCTCCTCCCCCTCCTCCTCATCCTCCCCCTCCTCCACCTCTTCCTCATTCCGCGGGCCTTCTGACGAGGCGCCTCTGACGAGATAGGGCTGGCGATGCTGGCCTTCGCGGCCGTCAGCTCCGCTGCGAACATAGCGGTGCTGCTGTTGTGCCCTCGGCGCGGCCCTGCCACCATCGAGAGCGTCTTGCTCCTGCTGCTGTCGATCCTCCTCCTCCTCCTCCTCCTCCTCCTCCTCCTCCTCCTCCTCCTCCTCCTCCTTGTCGTTGTCGTCCTCATCGTCGTCGCCGTCGTCGTCGTCGTCCTCCTCCTCCTTCTCCTCCTCCACCTCCTCCTTGTCGTCGGCGTCCTCGTCGTCGTTCTCCTTCTCCTCGTCCCCCTGGCACAGCCCTTGCCTCAAGGAGCTGGTCGAGGAAGCGAGGACACCCGCGGACCTCTCCCTACGCGTCCTCTCAGCCGAGTGCCGCTCCTCCTCCTCCCCCCCGCCTCTCTGTGTCCGGGCCGTGTGTCGCCTCTTCCACCTTTTTCTCCTCTTCCGCGCTTCGCGGCCGGCCCGGAGGGCAGAAAGAGCAAGAGAGATAGCGGGAGGGAGGGAGGGAGGAGCAAGAGGGACAGTGGGAGGGAGGAGGGAGGGAGCGGGCCAGAGGGTTAGAGAAGGGACGAGGGGTGCGAGACGAGGGGGGGGGGATGAGATGGAGGGGAGGGTGAGGAGGAGGAGGAGGAGGAGGAGGAGGAGAAATGAGAGAGACGATGAGGAGTTGAATTATCATGACTATGATGATGATGGTGATGATCATAAGCATGGTGATTATGAGTGTAATGCTGATGATGGTGCTGCTGATGATGATGACGACGATGATGCTGATGATGATGATGAAGTTGATGATGATGCTGATGATGATGATGCTGATGATGCTGATGATGAGGCTGTTGATGCTGAGGATGCTGATGGTGATGCTGATGCTGATGCTGCTGATGAAGCTGATGATGATGATGATGCTGCTGCTGATGATGATGATGATGATGATGATGATGATGACGATGATGATAATTATGATGAACATGATCATGGTGATCAACCTTGGAAAGTAATTTAACGACCCCCCCGACCAGATTCCAATGAGAGCCCAAGGGAGTGGCAACATGAACCTAGTAGGATCCGAACCGGATTCCAATCGGATTCCGATGGGGCCATCTTGTGGCCCTCTTGGGCGATCTTGTGCGCCTCTGGGGCCGTTTTGGGGCCCTCTTGGATCGTCTTGGGGCTCTCTTGGGCCGTCTTGGGGCCCTCTTGGGCCCTCTTGGGGCTTTCTTGGAGGTCTCTTGGTCCGTAGTGGGGCGATATTAGGGGCCTTTTGGGCCGCCTTTGAGCGTCGGGAAGCCGAACAGATGAGAACGCCACAATCCTGCAAAAACCGACGGGAAATCGATGGTTTTTGCCTCCTGGGGCCTTGAGACGCTTCTTCGAGGCCTCTTTGGGCGTTTTGGGAGCGTCTGCGGCCGTCTGGAGGCTATTTTGGGCGTCTTGGACCGATCGGTCGGCGACTCGGAGCCTTCTTGGACCGTCTTGGGGATGCTTGGGACCCTCTACGAGCGCTTTGGGGCGCCTGAAATCCGCGCTCAGACGGAAACCCCATCTTTGTGTCGGACCGCCAGGGGTACTATTCGTCCGGGGAACCCCAGGAGCCGCCCCGCGCGCGAACTATAACTATTGTTCACCTGTAGCTGGAGATCTTAGCACGCCTCTGGCCCGTTGGGCCACCGAATTGAAGTACTTTATTTGTCATGATTCAAACGATATCGCTTGGTGGTTCCCCTCGGGAATTTATATGTTATTTTGAGTGTTACGGATAACGATGGGGAGGATCGATAATGGCATCCCAGGGTTGTGATGGCCAGGAGGATGGTGAGGAGGACTCCCGAGCCCAAGCGCCGCCAATGATGATGACGATGATGCTGCTGCTGATGATGATGTTGATGATTATGATGGTGAGGATGATGAGCATGAGGCTGATGATGATGTCGATGATGATGCCGATTCGGATGATGATTCGGGTGATGATGCTCATTATTATGCTGATGCTGTTGATGATGATGACGGTGATGATGATGCTGATGATGATATTGATGATGTCGATGATGATGATTATGATGATGCTGCTATTGATGACGAAGCTGATGATGTTGCTGATGCTGCTGATGCAGGTATTGATGATGATCATGGTGATATGATGATTATGGTGAGGATGATGATGCGATTATTATGATTATGGTAATGCTAATGCTGCTACTGATGACGATGATGATGCTGGTGTTTCTGAGGATGAGGATGAGGACGATGAGGATCATAAGGATGATGATTGCGATGATTATGACGATGCTGATGATGATGACGATGCTGATGCTGATGCTGATGCTGATGATGAGGAGGATGAGGAGGAGGATGGGTATGAGGATGATGGTGATGTGGATGATGATCATTTTTCTAGTGATTACGATGCTGCTGACGTTGATGAGGATTATGATGCTGATGGTGATGATGATGCTGCTGCTGATGATGCGGATGATGATGATGCCGGTCGTGATGATGATGCTGATGACGATGATGCTGCTGATGACGCTGATGATGCTGATGATGGTGGTGGCTGTGGTGGCGATGGTGGTGATCATGTTGATGATGGCGACATGATGGTGATGATGACGTTGGTGATATTGAGGCTGATGCTGCTGCTGCTGCTTCTGATGATGCTATGATGCTGCTGCTGATGATGATGCTGAGGCTGCTTATTTTGATTCGGCTGCTACGGTTTATGATGATGCTGATGGTTCTGATGTAGATCATGATGATACTGATGATAATGATATGATGTTGCTGTTGACGATGATGCTGCTGCTGAGGATGATGATGAGGATGAGGATGAGGATGATTATGATGATTCGGCTGCTGCTGTTTACGATGATGCTGGTGATGCTGATGCCGATGTTGATGCTGATGCTGATGGTTGTGATGGTGGTGGTGATGATGATGGTGATAATGAGGAGGAGGAGGAGGCTGAGGAGGAGGTTGAGGAGGGATCGGAATCGGAACAGTAATAGGACTAGGAATAGGAATAGGAATAGGAATAGGAATAGTACTCGGAATCGGAATAGGCATAGGAATATGAATAGGGATCGGAATCGGAATCGGAATAGGAATAGGAATAGGAATAGGAAAAGGAATCGGAATAGGAATAGGACGAGGAGGAGGGGGCGACGGAGGAGGAGGAAGATGAGGAAGAGGAAGAGGAGGGGGATACCGACCTCCTGGGGATTGTTTCTTCATTTGACCTCCCATGTGATGGTGGAAGCGGTCCCGGACGCGGTCCCGGAAGCGTGGCGCCCGCCACTAAGCGGAGAGCGTGGCGATGATTTCGTTCCGCCTCAGTCTGCGCCGTCGGGGGCGAGGGGGGGAGGCGCGGCGCACCCCCCGCTGCTCGCCCAATGTGGGCCGCCGTCATGGCGGCGCGCGTGACGAGCCGACGAACTACAAGCTGACACGACGAAGATCACCCACCATCTTACGAACCACACGCAGAGGAATCTCATCCACCAGCTGACGAGCTACAAGCTAGACATTTACAACATTGCCTGCGATACTCACCCGCCTCGATAGAGACTGCTGGCACTGATGCTGGGACTGTACTCGCATGGAGAATTAAGAAGGGAAACAGCTCTCGAGAGAACGGGCCACCTCATCCGACGCGGAGTACAACCACGCCTGAACGACATCATGACCATCGCTACGAGCGCGTTTGTGATGGCGCCCAATGCTGGACTGATGAGCTGCGGAACGTGCAGCTGGGGCTGCGTATCATGCGTCCCAGGGAAGAGTTGCGTGACAGGCAGCCTAAGTACGACGCCAAGTACGCCGCCAAGACCGACGCCAGGAAGGACACGACCGATCAGGCCGAATATGTTGGTAGTACGTCGTCGTGGAAGTACCGGTGGGCAACGGCCGCGCCGCCTACGACGAGTGCGACTGCGGCCGCGCCGCCTACGGCGAGTACTACAACGACAGTGCGTCCGATAACGACCTGTACTTATACGACCCCCGGGACTGCTACGACAACTGGCAGGTCTACAGGGGCCCCCAGAAAGTAGTACGCTGCGACTTGGCAGCCGACGACTCCGATTCGGGTCCCAGTGGTTACGAAGTCTGCGCGCCCACTGACTTGCTACAGCCACCAGCAGAGCTTTCAGGTCCACCGGGCGACCGTCGGGGACCACGGGCTGAAATACGAGGACCGCGCGCACAGCTAAGAGACCCAGCGGAAAAACTTCAAGTCCAATTTGTTGAGCAAAGAGACCCGCCAGCAGACCACGAGATCCACGACCATAGCTACAAGAGCCACGACCAGAGGTACTACAGGACCCGCCTGCCGCGCCGCGAGAGCCACCTGCCGAGCCACGAAAGCCACGAGCTGAGCAGCGAGGACGCACGATCAGCCACGAAAGCCAAAAACAGGACTGCAATAACTACCAGCTGAACCACGAGGACTGCCTGCTGCGCTACGAGGGCCGCCAGCTGAGCTACGCGGGCCACCAGCTGAGCTACCTGAGGCGCCAGCTATGTCACAAGGACCAAGGGCGCAGCTACCAGAGCTACGAGGGCTACTTGCTGAGTTTCCAGGGCCGCAGCCAAAGCGAAGAGGCATGATTCCGAGACCCACCAGCTGAACCACGAGGGCCACAGGCAGTGATGCGAGGGCCACTGCCGAGCTACGAACGCCTGCCGCATCCTGAGCTACTGTGACCACGCGCTGAGCTTCCAGGGCCACCAGCTCAGCTACAAGGGCCACCCGTGGAGATGCGAGGGTCACAGCGAGAGACACCAGAAGGGCCACGAGGACTGCGCGCTGAGCTGCCAGGGCCGCGGGCGCAGCTTCGAGACCTACGAGGGCCACCTGCTGAGTTACGAGGGCCACAAGCAGAGCTACGCGGACTGCAGAAAGACCTGCCAGAGCCTCCTGCGGATCGACTGGGGCGACGAGCTAAATTGCACGGGCCAGATTCAGAACTCCGAGACCCACCTGCTGAGCTTCGAGGGCTTCAGATGGAGCTGCGAGGGCCTCAACTTGGTTTGCGAGGGCCGCTGGCATAACTACCTCAGCCGCGAGGTCAACCAGCTGAGCTGAGACGTCTATGAGGGCCACCAGCTGCGCACCAGCACGATCAGAAGCGACAGTTCCCTGACGGATGGGCGCGCGCGAAGGTCAAGTCCGGCAATGCGTACTATTACCACGAGGTCACGTAGCAGACGCACTGGTCGCCCCCTCTACTGGGAGGCGAGGTGCAACAACCAGCCTCCCCGCTACCCGGCTGGAGCAGTTTCTTCGACAAGCGGAGGCGACGCTACTGCCGCTATGCGGCAAAAGATGACGTGGAAACTGCCGCCGAGATACGGGGGCCCCCAGTGGGCCAGGTCCGCCGACGCACCCTTCCGCAGCCGCCTCAAGAAGCCAGCGCAGCCACCAGAGCTTCCAGCAAAACTGCGAAGACCACGAGTTGAACGACGGCGATACCGACCAGCCTACTTGAAGCCCTTGATTTATGGTACTCCAGCATGCGTGACCGGAAACCTGGGACGCACGACATCTACAGAGCTGCGAACAAGGTGCGCCGTGTATGATTTTGCGCGCAAGGTGCACCTTCTTCGGTAGGAGCTACGACGTCTACTGATCGGCCCGGCCGCTGCCTCCCATCTCCCCTCCTCCTTGGAAGAGTAGGCTACACGAGAAACATGTGGCCTCCCCTCCCCCCACCCCCTCAGGAAGGCCCCCCTGGTGGCGTTCTGGAGGCCCCGTGCGCGCGTGACGGGCCCGCGCGCGTGCGGGCGCGGATGCTCGCGGGCAAGCAGCGCGGGCCGCCGAAACGTCTGCGAGAGAGATGGAGGGGGGGAGGAGGGGGGGGTGTAGGGGGATGATGTCCACGGGAGGAAGAGCATGATTAGGAGGCTGATGATTCTGCTGTTGCTAGTGGCGATGCTGGTGATTTTGCGGGCGCTGGTGCATGCTGCTGCTGATGATGCTGATGTTGCTGGTGATGGAGAGGAGGATGAGGATGAGGGGGGTGCGCACGTGATGAGGATGATGCTGGTTATTGTAAAGATGGCGAAGGGGATGACGATGACGGTGATGGTGATGAGGATGATGGTGCTGTTTATTATTATGCAGATGCTTATGCTGTCGATGATGATGATGTGATTGACGATGATGGCGATGATTGTGATGATGACAATGGTGATGCTGCTGATGCTGGTGCTGCTGGTGATGCTGTCGGCTGGGATGATGGGGGCTGATGATATCGGATTTGGTGGATGTGATTACGATGCTGGTGGTGATGGTGAAAATGATGATGGTACGGCTAATGGCGATGGTAATCATGATGATGACGATGGCCATGATTATGACGATCAGGGGGTGGTGATGGTGATGTTGCTGCTGACGATGATGCTTGGGGATTTTATATGCCGATGGCGGTGGTGATGATGATGGTCATGCTCGTGCTGCTGCGTAACCCAGGAAAACACCTAATTATCGATTCCCCTTCTCGGTGACCCCATAACGAGGAGGAGGAGGAGGAGGAGGAGGAGGAGGAGGAGGAGGAGGAGGAGGAGGGTGAGGAGGAGGACGACGACGACAACGACGAGGATGAGCAGGCCCGAACCCTCGCCGCAGCAGGTACAGGCACTGGCGCCTCAGCGGGGAGTCCGCGCCACAGGCCCACGGGGGCCCCAGCCCGCGCGCGCGCGCCCGCGCCGGCTCTCCCGCCGCGCGCGCCCTTGGGCAGCCGTCGTCGTTGTCGTCGTCGTCGGTGTCGGCGTCGGCGTCGGCGTCGGCGCCGTCGCCGTCGGCGTCGGCGTTGCCGAGGAGCATGATGATGAGGGGGCGTTTGATGCGACCGAGGAGGAGGATGAGGATGAGGAGGAGGTTGAGGAGGAGGGGGAGGAGGAGGAAAAGGAGGATGAGGTGGGGGATGTTGAGGTGGTCGCCGTCGTCTTACTCGTTGCGGGAGAAGGAGGAGGAAGAGGAGGAGGAGGAGGAGGACGGCGAGGAGGAGATGGAGGAGGAGGGAGTTGAAGAGGAAGGGGAGGAAAGGGAATATGATGACACGCTAGGTGCGCTCGCGTCATATCTGACGTCCTACTCCTCCCTCCCATCCCTTACCATGGTGTAGATCTCCTCTCTATTCGCACAGTCGGATGTCGAGCAGGGCAATGATCCCGAGAGGGTGCGCGATGCATCGTAGAGCAAGGCATATCAGGGCGTAGAAGAGCACGGCAGAGCGTAGCATGTCATAGCATGGCGTGGCGTTGCGTAGTGAAGAATTGCATCACAAAGCATTGCAGCGCAAAAAATGACATCGCACAACGGCACAGAACAGAACATGGCACAGCATGGCGATGAAGATCAAAGCGTAGCATAGCATAGCATGGCGTGGCACTGCGTAGTCAAGCACTGCACATGCTAGCATTGCAGCTGAAGGCATAGCATCGCACAGCGGAACACCACATAGTATGGCATTGCACGCTG